CTCCCTATCTGAGCCCAAATAGATGGGATTAAAAAAAAAGAAAAAGAGTTGACTAAATTAAAAACAAAACTGACTCTACTTACACCTTTCAGGAAACCAATCTCTCCATGGCCAATACACATTACTTAATTTACTAGCATACAAGAAATCAATTTCAAAAAGTAACTAATAAAATAAACAAAAACTGGATATGGTGACACATGCTTTTAATACCAGCACTTTGGGAGGCTAAGGCATGAAGGACTGTAAGTTTCAAACCAGCCTGTGCAACTTAGTGTGATGCTCTCTCAAAATCGAGTAACAAAAAAAGGCTGAGGGTATCGCTGAATGAAGAGACCCTGGGTTCAATCCCCAGTAGTGGGAAAAAAAGAGAAAAGTTTAAAATACCTTGTTAATACTGCCTTATATTAATATATTTACATGTTAAAGAATATATTATAATGGGTTTTTTCAGTTGTGCAGAGTTAATTTTCCCATTTGACTTTTTACATTTTAACCACAAAACATGCCAGTCAAATCTAGTTGTACAATTTAAAGTTAAATGACATCAAATATTTATACAATTTATTTGGTAATAATAAATTCCCAGAAGGATGGCAAGTTCAAGCCCAGCCCGGGTAACTTGCAAAATCCTATCTCAAAATAAAAAATAAACAAAGGACTGGGGGATGTAGCTCAGTGCAAAGGCTCTTGGCTCAATCCCCAGAATCACTAAATAAATAAACAGCACATCACTTTCAATACAAAATAAGGCCTCAGGTCGGGCGTGGTGTCACACGCCTAACTCGACTATAATCCCAGCACTCGGGAGGCTGAGGCAGGAGGATCATTGAGTTGAGACCAGCATGGGCTACAAAGTGAGCTCAAGGCCAGTCTGAACTGCATAGTGAGACCCTGTCTCAAAAAAAAGACAAAAAATAAATAAATAAATAAGGCCTCAGACCACTTCAGGCTTGCAGGTCACAATGTGGTGACCTGTAGTCTAGGCTATATAGTAAACCATCATTATGGGGGCATTTTTAAATGATGCAGTTACAGTGTTCTTCTTTGTCTCAATTGTGTAACTTCTATCAATAATATATAATAAACTGTTTTTAAAAGTTTAACAGGTCAGTAGTAACATATCAAAAGGCAGTGAGACAGTAAAACTGTAAATCACGTACAGATACAAATTTCCTACAATGCATGTTATTATGTATATCTAAAATGTACCAATAAAATTTTTTTTAAGTTGAACAGGTGAGTAGTAACACAGTAAGACAGTAAGACAGTAAGGCAGTGAGACAGTAAGTCTGCACAAGAAAACAAACCCATGGAAAATTAAGTTTATCAACATTTAACTGTTCCGTATTATCTCTTTTTCATGCTACCTTCTTTCTCTTATATTCATTATTTAACCAGTTTCCCTTTTTTTTTTTTTTATATTTACCAAGTCAACCCAGTAATCCTTTCACATCTCAGATGAACTGACAATACCAGTTTACTAGCTTCCTGCGAGATGGCTTCGGTCATATCACTTTTTTGCTCATGAAGTTCAACCTCCTTACTTCTGGCAGCTCTCAAGCTCCTCCACATTAAGTCTAAACTTACCTTTGGGCTTCTCAGTCACCTGAAGTTATTCTCTGCTCTTCTGTAAATAAACTCTCTCTCTACAACCTATTCCTCTAACACTATCTGGATGAAGATGCTGTCACCGGATAGTGTAATACTGGGAAAACGAGGGATACAGATGAAATATTCATTATAAATATCCCGTATGTACCAAATGCTAATGGAGTGGTGTATATATATATATAATTTTCCCCCTTTTTCTTTCCCCTTTACCTGCGTTAAAAACCAAAAATTTTAATGTTTATTGAACTACATTTACATACTTTGCTCACAACTTCAGATTCAGATTATATTCATCTTTTACTCTTTCAAAATAACAAAAACACCTCTATGATTATTGTTTTGTACTCATGTACATTTCAGGTTATTTTTCTTTCCAATTATGAACTTGTGACCATAGAGATAATATAATTTTACACCAAGTTTTCTACTCAACTTTTTAGGCTATGGAGTTAAGTTTAAAAGAACAAATATTCTGCAATGAGAATGGTCAAGATTCAGCATCCTGAATTCCAGTCCTCACTCCTTTGAGCACTGTAACTTCAGGCAAAATCGTATGATCTCCCTAAATACTTTGTTTTGTTTCCCTCAACCGTGAAATGAGAGAAACTCATACTTTATAGAGCTGTCACAATAATTAAATGAAAAGGTGGAAACAATTTTACTGTGCCTCATACAAAGAACTCTATCAACAGAAATTATCAATACAATTATTAATGCTCAAAAGCTTAACACAATACTTATTTTGATACTGTTTTGTTTTGCTTTTTGAGGTAGGATCTCGCTATGTAATTCAGGCTGGTCTTGAACTCACTATGTAGCCTAGACTGGTCTCAAACTGTCGGGGAGATCCTCCTGTCTCTGCCTCTTGAGTGCTAGGTTTACAGGTGTGCACCGCCACCCGGGCCAGTACCTTTACTTGTTTTTGGTGTTTTTTGAAAATTTGAGCACAAGGTAGTAAAGCCCGCAGTACATTCTTGTAATATAAACTAAGTGAGTGATGTTTACACTTTATGTGCCTTAATCACTCAACCTTTTTTTTTAACGAAAGACAATCTGAAGGTGAAGGGAAGGGTAAGAGAGGGCGGACTGCTACTCAGGACCAGCAGGGAGTATTCGAAAGGGAAATACTTCAACTCAACCACTCCGAAAAGACGCAAATGACTGGGGAAAGGTGTGCTTACTGAACATGACAAAGGGGCGTAGGAAAATATAAAAGGGATGAAATTATATCTGGGTTTACAACAAAGTAACTCAGCAGAGGGCAAGACTAGCCACGGACTGCGGTCCGCCGAGACGGCGCGCCGAGCGCACCGAGTTCTCCGGCCCGCTCACCCACCTTCTCTGCAACAGGAAGAATTCCATTATAAAAAGAATTCAAACGCCCCGAGGCTGGCCGTTTGTTTAGCGCCTGGTGCCAACCGGGCCCGGCCGGGAAGACAGGAAATTCCGCAGAACGAACAGGGGCACCGCAGCCGCGGCCGGGGGCGCCGGCGGCGA